ATTTGATCCGTATGCGTTGCTTTGCGGTAGACCGTTGTCTCCAGTTTTCCTGACGGCGTTCTGATGACCAAAATGTCCAAAAAAGCCAGTTGTTCATCCTTCTCCGTCTCCGTTGTGAACTTGATGCCATTGAATGTGTTAGTGATGATGTGTTCTTTCCAGTTCCGACTTCTTCAAGATGACGAATGTGTCATCAACGTATCGGAGCCAAAGTTTTGGTATGATCCTTGGTAGTACCTCCTTCTCCAACTTTTGCATTACGGCTTCGGCTATGAATCCAGAAATTGGTGATCCCATTGGTGTTCCTTTCAGTTGTTCGTAAACTTCACCCTCAAATTTGAAGTATGTATGCATGCATAGTTCCACGAGTTCGGAAATAGCCGCTGGTTCCATTTGTTGGTTTGGTGGGTGCTTAGTTATCAATTCCCACAACATGGATCTTGCCAGGTCCAAGTTGGTTGTAGTGAGCAAAGTGGTGACGTCGAACGAGACCATTATTTCGTCTTCTTGAATGTTGACAGTTTTGAGCTTGTCCAGGAATTGCCTTGAGTTCATGACGCTGTACTCGTGTCCAGCGATGAGCGGCTTCAGTCGTTTACATAACTCTTTTGCTAACCTGTATGTAGCTGTTCTTGGAAGAGAGACGATCGGTCTCAAGGGAATTCGTTTTTTTGTGTGCTTTCGGCAGTCCGTAGAATTGTGGAATAACCGAGTGTTTTGCTCTCATTCTCCAGTGCTCCTCTTTGGTTATTTGATGCAGTTCTTCCAGTCGTTTTAATGTAGTGTTGATTGTTTTCCAGCTTTGCGGTGGGGTCCGTGTCGATCCTGCGGTAGGTGTCTGTGTCTTGGAGTAGTACTTTGGCCTTTTGAATGTAATCAGTTTTGTCCATGACTACAGTAATTTGTCCTTTATCTGCTGGGAAAATGACGATATTTTTGTCCATCTTCAGTGTTTTGAGTGCTTTGACCTCGCGATTTGATGGCATGTTTGTTGTTCCTTTTCGCATCAGAGCTGGGACGATTTTTTGTCGGATGGTTTGTTTCGCATCTTCAGGTATCGTGGACGATTTGAGGGTTTGTTGCAGTTCCACCAAGTATTCCTTGTTTGTTGCATTTCTGGCGTTGAAATCAAGTCCTTTAATGAGGATTCGTTTTTCATCCTATGTGGTCACGCGATTG